TAGCAAGTATAAGACACTTACTTTCTCAGAACGCAGCAGAGCAACTCATTCATGCCTTTATCACTGCTAAACTTGATTTTTGCAATAGCCTGCTCACCGGTATTCCACACGGTACAATTCATCGTTTGCAACTTGTACAGAACGCTGCCGCACGTCTTCTAACGAGCACCAAAAGAACAGCTCACATAACTCACATTCTCAACAAACTACATCGGTTACCCATCAAATACAGAATTCAGTTCAAGATCCTCCTTCTCACATTCAAGACACTCCACGGCTCTAGTCCCCTTTATCTTGCAAACATGCTGCAACTCCGCTCTGTCAGGCCGGGTCTGAGGTCAACAAGTTGTGCCCCGGACTCGGCTGGCCAGTGCCGGAGACAGGGCTTTTTCTACAATTGCACCACGCTTATGAAACTCACTCCCGGATCATCTAAGACAAGAACATGACATCAAGCAATTTCAGCATCATCTCAAAACATTCTTCTTCTCACAAGCTTTTTCACTATGAATGCACAATTGAGTTTTTCATTTTTCCACCTAGACCAGCGCCTCTGAATGCTTTGCAGATATAGTGCGCCTTATAAATGCTTCATTATTATTATTATATGAATAGATAGGGGAACATGTGGCCTTTCAGATGACAGCAAGATTGAAAAATTTAGATAATTCTCACACCTTTTATGCTCGAATATACGAAGCATTCACTGTGCCAGTACAGGACCCGGTGTAGCGCAAAGTCAGAATTACAAAACAATATCAAGCAGTCAGACAAGAACTTGCACTTCCTTTTGCAGATATTTCCCTAGCTACTGCAAATATGGAAATCAAACTTATATGAATGGATAGACGAACATGTGTCCTTTCAGACGACACCAAGATTGCAAGATTTAGATACTTCTCCCACCTTTTATGCTCAATTATATGAAGCATTATCTGCGTGGTATACGGACAGGTATAGCACAGACAAAGCAAGAATTCCGGAAAAAGGATGCAATTGTAAAAGAACTTGCACTCTCTTAAGCAGCTATTTCCCTAACTACTGCAAATATGGATATGATACTTATATGAGTAGATAGAAAAACATCTGGCCTTTCAGATAACCCCAAAAAGTGCAAGATTTAGATAATTCGTAGACCTTTTATGCTTAAATACACGAAACATTCACTGTGCGAGTACTGGACCCGGTATAGCGCATAGTCAGAATTAATCAAAAATATCAAGCAGTCAGACAAGAACTGGCACTTCCTTTTGCAGATATTTCCCTAACTACTGCAAATATGGATATGAAACTTATACTAATGGATAGACGAACATGTGGCCTTTCAGATGACGCCACGATTGCAAGATTTAGATAATTCTCAGACCTTTTATGCTTGATTATTTGAAGCATTCTCTGCGCGGGATAAGGACCAGTATAGTGCAGACGAAAACAGAATTCCGCAAAAGTATCAAACAGTCAGACAAGAACAGGCACTTCCTTTGGCAGATATTTCCCTAACGACTACAAATATGCATGTGAAACTTATACAAACAGATAGGGAGACATGTGGCCTTTCAGATGACAGCAAGACTGGAAGATTTAGATAATTCTCAGACCTTTTATGCGTGATCATATGAAGCATTCTACGCGCGGGATGAGGACCAGTATTGCGCAGACGAAGCCAGAATTTCGCAAAAATATCTGGCAGTTCGACACAAACTTGCATTTCCTTTGGCAGATAATTCCCTAACTACTGCAAATATGGATATGAAACTTACACAAACAGATAGGGGAACATGTGGCCTCTCAGATGACAGCAAGATTGGAAGATTTAGAAAATGTTCAGACCTTTTATGCTCGAATATATGAAGCATTCTCTGCGCGCGATAAGTACCAGTATAGCGCAGACGAAGCCAGAATTCCGCAAAAATATCAGGCAGTTGGACAAGGACTTGCATTTCCTTTGGCAGATATTTCCTTTACAACTGCAAAGATGGATGTGAAACTTATATGAATGGATAGATAAACAAGTGGCCTTTCAGAAGACAACAGGATTGCAAGGTTTATATAATTCTCGGACCTTTTATGCTCGATTATATGAAGCACTCTCTGCAGGGGATAAGGACCAGGATAGCGCAGACGAAGCCAGAATTCCGCAAAAATATCAAATAGTCAGAAAAGAACTGGCACTTCCTTTGGTAGCTAATTCCACAACTACTGCAAATATGGATATGAAACGTATATGAACAGATAGGGGAACATGTGGCCTTTCAGATGACTCCAAGATTGTAAGATTTAGATAATTCTCAGACCTTCAATGCTCGAATACATGAAGCATTCTCTGCGCGGGATGAGGACTGGTATAGAAGAGACGAAACCAGAATTCCTGAAAAATATCAAACAGTCAGACAAGAACTGGCACTTCCTTTGGCAGATATTTCCCTAACTACCTTAAATATGGATATNTGTCTATCAAACCAAACACGTACACCGGAGCGTGGGTCTTGTTCTTTGCTTTTTGCTACATCTAAACCTTGAGCCTCAAGGCTTTTGAAAGACCTGCTCGTTTGTGTGATCAAATACCAGTAATATTGGCAAGGATGATAATAATAAATTGACACAAGTATATGTCTGACACCGGTCTACTTTGTGAGATTTATTTTTGTCTCAGATGCATTATGTGTCACTGATGAATAGGTTGTATTTTGGAGAGAAAAACAGCTGAAGCGGATAACTAAATATTCTATATGTGTATTGTGGCCTGAGAATGGGGCATAATTCTGGGTTCACTCCATTCGGGTACACTGATCAATTTTTGTATCTATTGATTTTGGGCATCATAATTTCCCTAGGGCCATAGAAAAATTCAGTTACCATGGATATGGCCTAAGCATGTGAAACCCCAAGATACGGACGCGTAGATGAGGACTTTAGGATCACCTAAGTTTGCAAAATAGTACATGAATTTACGTTGGTTGTGACGACATTGCCCTATTAGTTGATTTTACATCAAATCCAACCTAATTCCCCTTTTTGGAAGCAATCAACGGTGAGCTGAAGGAAACTGCAGTCACGTTGCGGTGAAATTATCAATAGAATATACTGCAATACCAAGTGATTACATGGACCAACAGATAACGCATACCAAACAGGTACCTCTCTGCTAGAACGACAAAATCAATGGGACCATGGGAAGCACATCTACTCTATACATGTACACAAGCCTTTATTACAATCTCATTTTCACATAAACATGTACATTGTACATTCACACGCGGATCTGACGTGACACTGACCCAAACTCCTTCAAATAGTTCAATCTATTGGACAAATGTCATGAACAACCATGTTTGTGGGAGGCCTCAACAACCTTCAGTTTGAATAACCCGAACCTTGTCACTGCTTTGCTGGGATATCCAAAAATGAGAAGTTGTCAAGCAATCCCATCAGCCCACAAAACGCAACACACCAATCTGAATGATCCCAAACTCCATACTTGTAGGTGATGAATATGCACTACACGACGGACATAACCTGAGAAGGAAACCCCAGTCTTGTTCCCAGGATGCAACACAGCAAGCAATGGCATATGTACATGTACATCTAATGGCCGCTGATCTGCATGGATGCCTCACACTGCCAACTGTCCTGGCACTGACAAAAACTTTGACAACATAAGTCTACATCTTCAAGCGTACTATTTTCTTGCTGCGACTGGCATCCATTTCGTTTGTGTGACTCGACAAAGACAGGTGTCTGAGCCATCAGCCCAAATCTGGGCCCCAGCCCCAAAACATCACATTTTTAAACAGATCCACTCAACAATGCAAGTGAAATTTTAAAAATCCCTGATCGAAAAATGCTTGCGATTTGTAGTCATAAAGTAACACAGAAAAACTTCAAAATGATTCACAATAATGTGAAAGTGTCCTTACATGTTTGGAAAAGAAAAAATTCTGGATGTACATGTACATAACAATAATTGGGGTTTATCTTTCAAATTTTTCCCATCCAACTAGACCAATCTTCAGTAATTTTAGAGTGAAAAGATGTCATTTAAAATTCACAAATTGAATAATTTGTTAAAAAATCGTTTACACAATTAACAGACACTGTCCCTTACAGAAGAGGACACAAGTGTTATTCAAAAGTCACCGCTGTCTTTAAAATGTTCTTTTGCTTCTTGCTGAGTGAACTAGATTCAAATACACTGTATTTGCACAGCTTACACACTACTAGAGTTGAAGGCCTAATATGCACAGTGGCTTTAGTCTGCTCCTTGTCCTGAATTGCAGAAACTTTCTACGAAAATATTGATCAACTAGCACATAAAATTCTGGGTCTGAAGTTTTGTGGCAGTGAGGACCGTCGCAAGTCTCCCAACCTCAAGTCTTCTGATTTGAAAGGGCCACATGCAATTGAGATTCTTTAGAAGGTAAGGAAGTGGTGTGTCGTTATTTGGCCTACAGGAGCCCCATGACCTTATCTTCAGGTAATCTCCACAGTTTTATGCAAATATAAATATCCATATTCATGAGCTAAATAGTGACTTCACAATGGGCTTTTGTAAATGTTGCATAATGCATGACAAGTATAAAATACAACGACCTACATTTAAGGTTATTTTCCTCACAGAAATTCCTTATACAATGTACGTGTAATGACAATAATATGGCTTAATGTCATCACGGCAATAGTACCCTAATGAGTCAGAAATTTAACCTTCCATTGTCTGAGACATTATCCAAGTAAAGCTGGAAAGTCTGAAAAGAGCTGTCAACACAACCAGAAAGCACAGAATAGCTTCATAAATATGGCTACAAATCAAATCATACTAGGGAACCAATAATCAGCACTAAACATAAAACAGCTGCAGGGCAGATACAGCCAGGACTATGTGGTGACTGTCGGTCTACGGCTGTTCTATGTCTGGAAGGCCTTGTAGAATAAGACCATCAAATTACAAAATGTACAGTCACAGATGCACACATTTTGGCTGCTATCATTGATACTGAGCGTTTCCGAAGGGGGGCGGAGCTTTGGGCCCAAGCTGGGAGGGATCTTCCATTTGGGGATTCACTGCAGACAGCAAGAAGGAAGAACAGGGTGTGATACATGGAAAGCTACAGGTGTTTAGAAAATTTTATTTGGTTTTGTCAAACAATAAATCTATGATTGTAAACTAACCTCAACCCAGGTGCCAACCCCTAACTTCTGTTTCTCAGAGGCCACAAGTTACAAAACTACCGTACCTGGTCTGAACTGGTCAGCAGACATTCTCGTCATCAAGATACCGATGCCTTCAATCATGGCCAATAAAATACCACCTGCACAAACCAACAGATCAGACATTGTTTCAGAGGGGTGCAATTTAGGACATCCAACCTGTTGCCGTTGTTACCACAACATGTTTCAACTTACATGGTCCATCATACACGGGTCTTGTTACAATGGATACAAGGCACAAACAAAAGCACTTCAAATGTACTTCAAGTGCATAAATTATGCGCATAAATTATGCCCCCACAAATACTACAGCATATGGTAATGTGTTTCACAGTTGTAAGTGGGATAAACAGTTTGGTAACAGCATCATCCCTGGGGATTAAACACCTTATTAAAGAGTACATTCAGCCATGAGTCCTGTATACTATATAGATACATATATGGCTGAAATTAAGGCATCCTAGTCAGGGGAGTCCAACCTCCTCCCCACGCTCATCCCTGGGGATTAAACACCTTATTGGAGAGTACATTTAGCCATGAGTCCTGTATACTATATAGATACATATATGGCTGAAATTAAGGCATCCTAGTCAGGGGAGTCCAACCTCCTCCCCACGCTCATCCCGGGGGATTGAACACCTTATTGGAGAGTACATTTAGCCATGAGTCCTGTGTACTATATCAGGCCAAAAAACTCTGCAAACTTAATTTGATAAACTTGGTAAAACAAGGGACCTCTTGGGACTCACCGATCATAGCTGAAGTTCCCATAGCAACAGCTCCATCTGCAAACGATTCAACAAAACTCTTACTCATTCATGCTCTCAAAAGGAATCACATTTTTCGGACCTTCTCTGGCTTGAAGGAGGGGGAGATTTGCCCCTCGCGACGAAACTGCGACAGCCACATGACCAATCTTTTTTAAATCTGGTAGGCATGTCAACACATTTGCGAGTACATCAGCGATGTTTGGGGCTCTTTCAGGGTTGACAGCACAAAGATTCAATGTTGGCACTTACTTCTTGCAGCCAAAACTGCCCCTGTCAACGCCCCACTTGTGATTGAGTTCCAAGGATCTTCCTTCTTGCGTATGTGAACCAGGGCACAGTCAAACGTGGAAAACAGTCCGCCCCATACTGCAAAATTGCCTGGTAAATACAAGCAAAGGTTCAGACAATGAGCAACTTGAGTATTCAAAGATGGCACAGTCATTTGAAAAAAAAAAGCACCTGACGTGACTGCAGTTTGAACATGTTTGGTGCGAGTGGGTCACGGCATCTCACCCATGGCGTGCTTCATTTTGAGCATATCCTCAAACTGTTCTACCAGTTGTCATTTATTTAACCATTAAGCCATGCAGATTTGCAAAGACCCGCATCTGAAACTCATCAACACTTTCTGTTCTTGATTCCATTTGCTCAGGCGTAGAACTGATCGTCTCAAAATACTGAAACTTTGTCTCTTTCTGAAAATGCTGTGGTGAATTCCTATCATCCACTCACCGGGCAGTTCAAATGAAACTTATGTCAGATTGTCACAAAATCAGACAATTTTTCTTTCTAAATGTCAGCTTAAATTTCCAAAGTAAAAATTTGAAGCCTTTAATTTTCTGATGACGTTTAAGCAGAGTAAATTGAGTTCTTAATCTTTTAACAAATCAGCGTGGAATACTCCACAGTCGTATCAAGTCAATTCATTTCACGAGTCCAGCTATCACTTACCCCCAACAATAGGTGCTTTGTGTTTGACTGCTAAGAAGCTGCCTACAAGCCTCTGTCTAAAACCCTGCAATGAAAACAACAGAAGAAATGCTTCACCTTGTTTGAAGGTCCTTAATTAATTAGTCAGGGAAAAGTTAAAGACAATAATCAGTTGTTTAGACTGTGTGCACTGTCCTCCACAAAACATTTCACTAACGAGTGCCAACGAACTTTAGTTGGGAGTCCTTGGGACAGGTCAGTGCAAGAAAATATTCCCTATTGGATCACCGCAATATTTAGAGAGCTACCATAACTGCTGAGGTTAAAAAGAGACACCTGCTAATTGTAAGATAAGAGGGGTTTTGGTGAAGGAAGGGGATTCTACATTTGGAGCAAGCAGGTTTGAAAAGTAGGGTAAACTCGCTGGTATTTATGACACTCAAAGATGGTGATGGTCAAATATAGAATTCTTTACTCAATATATCCAGCGCTATCAATTAGCCTGTTATCAACGACCAAAACTACCTATGAGCTCTTTTTTAATTAACAAGCCAAGACAACATGACATTTGTCTTCAAAAATGTCATGCTTCTCTTATGGATATCAACATAGTGGGTGGGCAGCCACTTACTTGGATGAATGCCAAGCCAGGGTTTCCCCTGGGGTACTGATATGTTTGAGGTGGTCAAACAAATTTGGCCAAAATTCTAGCGCAAAAAAAGAGCATGTTCAAAAGGCCTCAAATACATGGAAATTCTATACAGTCTCGTAGTGCATTTGCTCCATATTTCCCCTCTAAAATAAATTGACCTTGTATTCTGTGTCCCTCTTGACCATTCTGAATTATTTGAAACTGATGTTCTTCAAAATGTCTCAGTTATTTTGCTTCTCCCTCCCATCTTTGTCTATTTTAAGTTTGAAGTGGTAAAATTCAACAGAAAAGGCCTGAGGTGGTCATTAAAATCAGTGAGGTGGGCCGCCTCACAGTTGAACACGCAGGGGAAACCCTGTGACAGCCAGTCCTGTGATTAACAAATGACAACCGTCCACCTCACTCTATCTGTGGACCTTGCCAATACTCAGAAGCTGGGATGTGGAAAGAGTGATACAAGAAGAATACAAAAAATAATTCAAAATGTCTCCCTTTCTGAAGAGAATGTCTGTGGTCAGCCATACTCACAGCAGGTGCATTCCTAGCTCCCAGTATTGAGTGGACCACACCTCCACCGATGCAACCCATGGAGAAGGCACCACCGCAGTCGTCCACTATTCTCCATGGACTAATGGACAAATCAACCACAAGATAAAGTCAAAGGGCTATAACATCTTTATGACTGTAGCAGAGCTGTAGAGCTGTATTTTAATTGGTCGAATTGCATCTCGGTGACAGCGACCAACTTCAGTGCAATTCCTCCAATCCCAATGCAGCTTTCATAGGGGTTGAACAGAAAATAAACAGATTGAGATAGGAGCCTCATTGTAATTGGTCAAGCTGCTTTAATGCAATGATGACCTTACAACTTACTTGAGCATTTGCTGCGATCTACGGTGAGTTGCACGGTGTCAGTAAGCAAAAATGTTTCAAATTTCATCATATTTATCTGCTACAAGGTAAACGAACCCCTCCCAACATCCAACATCAAACCATATCAAGAAATCAATTGTGAATTCTTTGGGCATAAATATTCGTGACAGCAGAGACATTCCATACGATCAAAACAGCAAAACTTCAGTTTTACACCATGTAACACTGCTACCTGATCGGTTTGTAAAACTTGACAGGTCTGGAAGTATTGAGTCACCACACAGAGTGCCAACAACATCAAGCACAGAAAACCACAATTGTTTTCCCATGTACTGCATGATAATTTCCTGAGGAAAGTCTTCAAATTGAAGGTTGTGCAGAACATTTATATCATCTGAACACAACTGGTTAGTTATTTTGGAAGATTTTGCTGTTCCAAATTGATTTTGGTAGGGATGTTACACCTCAACTATGGTCTCTGTCCCAACTAAACTTGGGCCGGTATAGTTGGGACAGATGCTATAGTTGGGACGTAACATATACATGATGTAGACAACACTCGATGCCCCTGTGCACAAACCTATGAGACTTGTATGAAAAAATGAAGTGTTTTCTAAGTGCTTTGGAATTTTTTCAGCTAACTTTCAATTTTTAGGACATGTTATCAATTTCTGAGGGTTGCAATAACATTTAAGGGAAAATTAATGTTGTCCATATATGGAACTCTTTCCAAGCAAGTAAAAATCTTCAAATTCAATCGATTTTTCTCAAATTTACAGTAAAACCAAAAACGAATGGAAACTCTTCTTCAGTCCAGACATTACAGTTCTGTGCTCCTTTTGTCGATTTAAAAGTTCTTTTGGAGTTGTTGACCACGTTGACGGTAAATGATTTGTACATGTACAACCCGTCATGCCCGTGATCAGGTAATGCAAGAAAGAATGATGTAACACGAGTTACGACCACCAGTCATGCCGGTGCATCAATGTCAATCCACATTTTATGAATTACAAACACCAAAAATACCGACAGATACGTTGTTAATCAATCAAATCTTGCTGTGACAACTTACAATGTTTCTTCTCATTTACTTATGTGAGAAATTCATCCCTCTAGAGCATTTTTAAGGAAGTCTAAGTTTGACGAAAACTCACCATGGTTCACGTGCGTATTCTTCCATTTTGCGGATTGCTGATTATAGATTGTTTAGCGCCCTCAATGATTGGAATAAACTGCCGACTAATAATTATTGAGGGCGCTACAGAATGAGAAAGAGGGCGGTCCAAATTTAAATAAAGCAATGAAAGACGTATGCACGATTATGAGTCCTTGCTCATGATGTATGTAATGAATTTTAACTTACCGGCTGGGGAAGAATTGTTATATAGTCATTTTGGGATGATCATTCCTTGCGTGCTCCAAGTTTCAGTGTAGTAGTGCTTTTTAAAGCAAGGAACAAAAAAATGTTCACCGGCTGTTTGCGATTTTAGCTACTAGAGGGCGCTACTTGCAGAACTCAACTGGCGCGACTAGACTCGATTCGACAGGCGCGCCAAGTGATTTGATAACTAGTCTAAATGCTACAACGTGACGATTAAGTGTGTGTCGTGTCGTGCCACTCTGCCGCTGTACAGACTGGAAAAATTGTAACTATTGTTTCCTTTTAAGGTAGACATTGAAGAGTTTATGGCACTGACAGATCCATCTGACTGGCCTGGATCAATGCCTGATCTTCGGGTAAGTGCCTGACGGTAGGTCCTATGAATGATGTAGGAAAATTGATATGATCATGATAATGATGACATTTAATTTCATGTTTAATGATCATGTTCAGATATTGAAGATATTTGTTCGCGTAAATTAAAATGAAGACCACGACAAAGCACTAGCATTAATTCCGTACGTGAACGTGTAACTTGGGTCTACCCTACATTTAGGACATTCCTTTAGTGCAGTGCAGCGCCTAAGCAATGAACCTTAATGAATAAACATCTGGTCAGTCATGTCAGCGTTTACAAACCATGGCTGATCATGCTTGTCATGAGTTTCTTCTTTTGCCTTGACATTCCTTCATTCATGCCAGGTCAAGGAACTGAATAGACTGAATGTGTAAATTGGAGATTACTCTCTTCAGTTCACGTCTCAATTGATATTTTTCGTGTCATTTTTGTTTATAGACTATCGACAATCTGCTACGATGCTCCATCTGCTTTGAGTATTTGAATGTGGCCATGATTATACCATCATGCTCACATAACTGTAAGTAATGTATGTCAGAAATGAGGAAACCTCCCCAGGTCAGCCTGTTTATTCAAATTTCTCCTTGTCTAAATAGACAGGACACAAACATTGGCCCTGACTGCCTTCGCTCTCAGATAAGTAATTTCAGTTGCAGAGTTGGACTAATATGATCCTTGTCTCAGATTTATTCTTCATTCAGAAGCACCATTTAAGGTATGAGTAAAAAATAGAAAAGTTTCTCATTTGGATATGTTGGACATGTTGAGAAAAGGGAGATAAAGGCTGTTTTAATTTATTAACCTTAGCATATGTTTTTCAAGCTGGTGGTTAAATTTTCTGATCTCTTTTGCTGATTCTTTTGGGTAAAACTAATGAGTTTGTCATCCATTTAACTTATTATGAATTTGCAATTATAGAGCTTTCTTTATACAGGAGTGAGGTTAACTGATAATAGAAATAGCTCAAAACAGCTGAAAAAGGCATAAAGAAGCTGAACTGTAAAAATCTCCTATACTTTTGTACACAGCAAGTGAGGAAAAAAAGCTGAAATCCAAAACAAAAAAGCTGAAATCAGCTAAAAAGCTGAGGAATTCATTATGAATAAATGAACAGGCAGCACGCTCACAGTCTAACAGAATAAAGATAAAAGTAAAAGATAATTTTTTTTAAAAATGCAGAGAAGAAGGCAGTGGGCAAGCATCAAACACTGCTTCATTAGTTTATTTTCTTTGGCCACATTTTACAATTTTGGCCCAGATCCAGCTTTGTAAATTTTTCCTCTGTGCCGTTGTCTCGTGCAGACTGCTCACTATGCATCAGGAGGTACATGAAATACAAGAGGCAATGTCCGTCCTGCAACATCGAGGTCAGTGCCTCGGAACTCTGCAACAACAGAACCCTGGATGAATTGGTCAAGACGTTCATAGCCGTCAGGTGGGCAGAAAATTGGGAAAGGAATGGGCAAAAAGGCTTTGATGATTACATTTCAGCGTGTACCCAGCCTGTGCATTAGTCTGGTCAAATCTAGACTGACACCGAAAAGTGTAACTTAATCCCATCTGCACTCGTTGTCATTCAGGGCAATTTTGAATCTCACACTATGTAAGTTCATCGTACTTCATCCTGAGTTGATTGAAGTGAAATCCATTCATAGGATAATTAGCTCAATAAGGATTACGATAAATGTTGGCAAGAGTCCAGATTGCACTGAACATTAATAGCTGCGCTGCTGGAACATTGCTGCTGCAAACAAGTAAGGAAGTTGATAAGTTATGTCATCTGGAGAGCCTGGCATCCTTCTTGTCTGAAGAAGGAATTTGAGGTTACAGATGCTTAGAAGGATCTTAACACTTAGTATTTTGCCCCCTTATTTGTTTTTTTTGCTTTCTTTTTGTGTATGTATCAGACCGCACATTTTGAAGTTGTGTAAAAAGTCTGAAGCAGAGGAACAGGCTGGTTGCCCTCCTCCGGACGAGGAGAAGACATCAAAAAAGTCAGCCAGTCCTGTGCAAAAACAGGTAAAATCTTCATGGAAGAATTCATTCTATTCCATCATTGCATCAACAACTTTGAAAGTTATGGCTGATGTGTTGTTTGAAACTGAAGGATAATTTTCCATGGACTTTGGTATCATATCATTTCACTTCCTCAAAACAGCCAACTGAAACATTTTTTACTGGCATTTCTCACCATATTACAGCTTTCTGTCCCCAAATCGAGCCCAAAGAAATCTTCCTCGACCCTGACTGGTCATTTCACTGCTTTCAAGCCCTCCAAAACTGCCTCAGTCCGTGCCTCAGAACACTCCCTTGGACACACGTCTTCAGACATTGCGCATAGGTCAGATGTTACAATCAAGACTGACCAAGAAAGTGATTGGCTTCAGACACAGTCTTGCAACAGACACTCCACCCATTCACTGGTTGATCCAGACGACGGTGATGTCATTGACATCTCAGAGGACTTTGAGACAGTCCAGCCTACTGCATCGACTGGCAGTAGTCCAGCTGCTGGTCAGGCCACGCCCGTCCGTAGGCATACCACGCCCAGTAGTAGTCAGGCCATGCCCAGTGGCAGCCAGACCACACCCAGTGGCAGCCAGACCACGCCCAGTGGTAGCAGGGATAAAGGTACGTCCATATTTGGTTGACCTGTCATTCAAGGGTTGAATGCGATTCTTTTAACTTCAAAATTGCCAAAATACTACCAAAATTAAAATTATTTGAAGGGGGATCCAAAGTAACATGTTTTTATGGAAATTCTTCGTAATTCCTAAAAGCAGAAATTTTCAACCCTCTCCCCTCACAAAACAATCTGAAATGTTGGTTAGATGGAGGCAAGTGAAATTCCTGTTGTTTGGATATTTAGTCTTATTGGAAGTAGTGACAGAAGTGATCTAAAATTAACTTTCATTTTAACCCACCTGTTTTTCCTTTCAAGATTCAGGTGTTCATTTTAAGGAAAAGTGTGGCTTGAGAAAAGACAAAGCTTAGTAGTTTGAATATGTGTCCTCTTCCTTCTTTCGGAAATTGTCATGCCTAGGTTATTTTGAATATCATTAGATGTTTCCTGTGCCGACTGACACAGCTTTTGTTAGTTGTTTGTAACCTTTATAGCCACCTCGTTGTGAGTTTTCATATTTCCTCTTCTTTCTGAAGTGGAATGTCCGGTTTGTAGCGTACCAGTGCCCACCAAATACATTAACACCCATCTAGATGCTTGCTTGAGAAGGACCGAGCAACAAGAAACAAACAAGAGGTGAGTGCCCACTCAAACCTGAGGCATTTGTGTGAATTGCCATCGAACTCCCATCCTGGAGCTTGTGGCCTCAAAAATCCTGGGTTACATGAAGTGGACAAATAACCGTCCTCCAAACTCTTACAAGACTCCAGGATTTCTGAAAAATGCATTGTATAGGCGTGCTGACAAACTGTGTCGTCCTATTTCTGGTCAATGTATTTTAAACCTGTGAAAGAAAAAAGATTTACTGTAAACAGTCTATAGGGCACACTCACCGACCCATGGAATCCAGCAGACACTGGCCATTATCATGAGCAAAGACCGTGGCACCATGCACTGTATATGCATAGTAGGCACTCCGCCAAAGCTTCATATGTAGCAAAAAGCGTCAGAAAAATGAAGAGCCAACATGCAGTAGTGGATCGGAACAATTACTGAACGTGGCATGAGTGGTAACCATTATGCCATAGGATAGAGAATCAACTTTTTTTGTGTGGTAATGAGCCCTACTGTCAAGTTTACAGTAGGAATCTAATCTCGGTAATCAGTACTTGGATGTCTTTTAATCAGATCCTGCCAACACATTTCAACTTAATGGGAAAAATGAGTAGAGCAACAACGTCAGACTTCAGTATTTGTCATCTGTTTTGCTGTACTCGTGTCAGAAGAGTTATCGGAAAAGTGACTTCCTCTGTTTTACTCTTATTTGATCAGAGTGACCAAGAGAAAGCGAATACCTGCTATGGTGTGGAAGCTAGTGCCAGATAAAGACCTCAAGAAGAAGATGAGAGAGTATAACTTGTCTACCAAGGGAAAACGCCATGTGAGTAGCAGGAAGACCGAGACGATCAACATAGCGTCCTTGTTTATCTCCTTTGGGCAAGGATGTTGGAAGAATTCTTTACCAATCTGGTTGTCAAGACCACCTACAAGATCAGACACAAGACCAGGCACAATACAAGAGCATTCGTAAAACCAGTCTTACTTTACGGGTGAACATCGACGAAGGATTGCTTTTGTTGCAATTCATTTGAATAGCTTGTGACTTGAATTCAGACTGGAGGTCTTCTGCTGGTCTTGTGGGGTCTTGTGGTTGTCTTGTGGCAGTTTGAAGAGGTCTTGACTACAGCCAACATATGCTCAGACCATTTCATCGGGATTACAGTGTGTTTTAATTGGGACTAATTTTTGGTCCTACTGGGAATGAAATTAAGTGCAAGATGTTTGAATTCACGGCATTTGAATGGCCAGTTGACCCTGGTAAGCTCAGTGGTCAAGTGGTTGGATGTCGGCACTAGTGAGCAAGAGGTCATGGGTTCGAATCCACCCAAGTAAGCTTGCAGACTTGCTGACTGCAGTCAGTGCAACATGTTTATGAAATTAAGTTGCCAAAGGGCAAAATCCTAATATTTTGTTCCAAGGTAGAAGCATTTCCCTCAGATACAGTATTTAAACTCAGAACACTGAAGAGTTGAGTTCAAAATTCGGCACTCTAAAAGAATCAGCAAGTTAATGATGTAAGCAAATGCTGAGACATTATGTCTTTGTTAGTTTATGAATGATCTGGCCTGTCTGCCTTCTTGCAGGAGGTAATCAAGAGATTAGAGGAGTTTATACTGATGTACAATGCCCAGTGTGATGCGGTCAACCCTAAATCAGGTACAGCAAGCTAAAAACCAACTCCTCTCTGCTTCTAAACTGAATTGCTCGAAATTTGCTTTCTTTATTCTATTGGGTTTTCTTGCCAGTGCCAAAAACCTTTTAATAGCAAATTGAACAGTCTTGTTTCTTAGATCTTGTTCTTTTAAGACATGCTTTGGAGTGGAGAAACGCAAGTTGTAATAATTATCAAGAAGTGAGAACAGCTCAATGCATCTTAGTATTTGGCCGCAGGTCACGATAAGTTACTTTGTCCATTTACAAATCAGCTTGTTATCAGCAACTTCAGAATTCATTTCTCTCTCAAGAAATGACATAATTGCAGGCAGTGGGGAGTCAGCCTCCAAGAAAAAAGGACAAAGAGGGAAACTTTGAGCAGATTAATAGACACATTATGTAACCTTGGTAATGGCACCTGTCCCTGACTGATTGTTTCATGTCATCTTGTTTGTATTCCCAGCCGAGGAAATTGCCAGGGAAGTTGAGAGACTTGAGCAGCTCAAGAACCAACAACAACTCAATGACATGACAGTCAATGTAGGTTCCACTGTCGTGGCTTGTCTTTACTTCCAAATATCAGACTGCTAACATTGAGGCGTTTGCATTTTTGTGAAACAGATCTGGCGTAAGCATTCAATGCAGCGCTAAGATTTCCCTGTAACTGTTACACTTTTTACATAATGAATTACTAACATATTGTGTACCAGCTTTAAGTGTGAATAATAACCCTTCCTAACACAAATGTTTATCTCAAAATTTTTGCTTAGTTCTCTTTGCTTTATCACAGACTAGCTCCTTTTTCTGTTTACAATAATCAGGCCTTTCATGTTAAAACAAAGCTACACAGATATTATGTGATTTTTTTATATTTTTCAGAATCTGAAGGTAGAGAAAGGACAGACAGAAGAACAGATGCAGAAGGCACGGCAAGAATATTGTGAGTCTCCTTGACCTAGTGTGGAATATGATGTCAACATTATCTGGCCCTTCCAAACACCCCCCCCATAATTGTGCAACCTACGAGCAGCAACACTGGATTTGACTGCCCAGAATGCTACAAAGGCAACTTTATCCATCCCAGGAGGGTTCATATTTATACCAAATCTATCTATACCAGTTAGATGTTCTGGTGTATGCTTAAGGATTTATACAAAATGTAAAGTTTGGAAAGTCATACTTGGGTCAACTGCCCGCTCTTATGTGTTAGAAGTGGCATTCCAACTTTATAAGGTTGTTCTTACTTATCTGAATGAGCCATATTTCAAGTCTAGTGTTTCCAAAAGGGAGAGTGCTGATATGAGATTTTAAGAGTCACTATGAAGTATGGTTTGACTTGTTCTCTCCGTCCATTAAGTGTCAGCCAACAAGGATCAGTTCCGTGAGTTAGTCGCCGCTGCACGGGCACAGATGAACGCAGTCAAAAAGAAGTCCGGCAAAAAAGACACTGCTCAAGCCTCGACTTCCACCAAGACGTCTACCTCTGGTCTCAAAGAGGTTACGACCAAGAGCGGTCCAGCTTCCACTCTGGTTGAAAACTCGGCCATTCAAGAACTCGACGTTGTGGTCATCTTGGAGGATGAGGTCGAGAATAGGGGCGATGATAGCAGAACGTCAGAAGGCTCCGAAATCATAAATAATGATGGTGCAGAGTTGAACAGAACTGAATGTTTGTTCTCAGATGGAGAGGAGAATGAGCATGGAAGCAACGGGAGAATCAGCAACTGTGATACCGAAACGCCAGAGAATAATCCTTATGTCAAGCAAGGTGATTTCTCATCACATTATGAATTTAGAGCGTGTAAAATTGTAATTGTGTGTTAATACAAATAATTTATCAACACCACCATTTGCCTGTCTTTTGCCTAAATCCAACAACCTCTCCTATGCTAAAATCAACTCTTAGGTAAACTTTTCATATTTCTGTGGACTCGAGACCACCTCTTGCTATTCCGCATGGTGCCAGATATCACTGATATAAATATGCAGGTTTTCACAGTGGGTTGCTACACAGTTTGGGGTTTCTTTGTATCGTAGGAAAAAACATATCATGACTGAAAAACTTGCTGATTTTAGATTCTGATGTGGTGCTTGCTGAAGAGCCAAATAAAGTAGAGAGCAGCCATCCAATGAGTGGAGGCCTTTTGGATTCAGACACAGCAGCTGTCCACAATGGAATTGCTGAAGGTGCATTTTCTGGAGGTTTGGATTTAACAAGTAATCAGAGGCTTGTTTAGCACACTCTTGCTCAAAGTATTCACAGTGCTGTAGAGGCTTTGCGTGACAGTCATCTTATAGGACAGTTCTTTTGTTCAAAAGGTACGTACGAAAGACAATAGTGTATGATACAAGGGAACTGCCCTGCAAGATGGCTACCTTGCAAAGCTTCTTTAGTCAGGGTATAACAGTGCTAAACATCAAGGATGTGGAAAAAATGAAATATAAGGTTCAGAATTGTGAATATGGGATAACAGTTTATAAACGTCAAGCAAAAAGTCTTGAGACATTTTATGAACTGTTCAATCCAATGTGCTTAAGTTAGAGAAAATTTAATGTTTTCATGGGAGGCAGTCCCCAAGTTGAATTCTTTGCATTTTTTTTCCTTTGCACTTCCAGAGTCTGTTGAGCCATAGCTGTCAGACTGTTCAATAAGATTTTAATTGCAAGATGGCACCCCCGAAGTGAATGAACACTTAATTATCCAATTTCTGTGGGATTTCCTCATCAACAGTCTCAAACTTCTCTATCACTCTTGGTTTCTGGCATTCATAAATAACATTCTTTGAGAAAACTTACACTACCCGTTTCTGCCTTGCATTTTTTTGATGGTGACACAGATTTAGTAGCTGGTTTCTCTGGGTCTGGTATTCACCAGCAGTCTGACTGTAAAATTTTGGTTCCATCCTCGCCAAGCGTTGCATCAAAGGACGGGACAAATGAAAGTCAGTCGCAGAGCATATCAGCAAGGGAGGTAAGGCCACGTGAACTATCTGGCTGTGGATGGTAATTACACGCATCTATGGGAAGTGGCTTAAGGCAAAAAACCATGGCTTCCTTAGATACTTTCGCTGTTTCCGGTCGTAGCCTGGTATTTGACCACAGCTTGAGCTTTTCTGGGCTCTTTCTCACAATTCCTATTTTTTGTTCCGCTTGGCATAGTGGTTGGCATAGTGATTCTTTCCTCACCTTCCACCTCTGAGGGCTTGGGTTCGAATCCACATGTGGATTGGGTTTTCAGTCCCTACCTGATTCTGTGGGTTTTTCCCAGAATATTCCTCTAGGGTTTTCCCCCCATCTCTGAAAACTAACTGCTTCTCCTCTCTACAGGTTTCTTCAGGCTTGCAAGCTATAGTACCTAGGGTACTTTTAAGGAATCCTTGGTGTCATTACCAGAAATAAATCACAACTGACAATCATTTACTGAAAGTGTAGACTGCCATATTGATTGTTCCAAAAGTGTGTAAACCCAGACCACGGAAAACATTGTGGTGCCATGAATCAAAAGATTTTTCATCTGAGTGATGACTGTTAACTTTCTTTTGTGTCACCATCATTAGAACAAGAGTGAAACCTCTAGCCTGAGTAGTGACCCTGCGCCTGATTCTCAAGACCTTCTGTGTATTCCTGAAAGGTAGTGATGACCCCATCGATTTTGTGAACTTGTTGAATTCACAGCGTTAAATTCAGTCTGCCCTTGGTGGTTTATTAAAATGTGGCCACTGTTGTAAACATACACAAGAACTGGAATCATTTCAAAGTATGGGTCATTTCAAAATATCTGATGATCATTGTTGTAGTCAAGACCATCATAAGACCAGTTACAAGTAACTGGGTTCCGGGTTAACAGTGGCAAAGGAATACCTTTGTTGCAGCTCATTTGAAGAGCTTGTAACTTGAATTTAGACTGGAGGTCTTGTGATGGGTATTTCTTTTGATGGTCTCAACTTAAACACTACAGGCAATTTCAAACGAGCCCAAGCATGGACAAAAGTTAGTATTAAACGCTTCATTTTCAAGGAAAGAAAGACTGATAATAGGTAATTCCAGAAATTAGGGATCTAAAAGTGTGACATTTTCATGTCCCTGTTACATCTGACCTTTGTTATTTGACATGAAAATATCACGGGAATCGATTTCAAACTAGAACTCTTTGTTTGGCAGGGGATTTGCGTTAGTTCATCACTCTTGGAAATCAGAAAATGTGTTCTGAACTTACAAAATCGTATGTCAGATGTGACAGGGACACAAAAAAGAATGGACCCCTTATTTCTGGAATTACCCTAATACCATTCTTTCTGAAGCCCTCAAGATGAACTTGATGTGAAGAGATCACGAGAGTTCATCTCAACTTTTCTCTCTTTCGACAGCCCTTTGTCTGTCGTGGCTGAGACAAGGCGCCGTAAACGGAAGAAGCAAGACTGTGGTAGCAATGCCAGCGACAGCGGCAGCTCATTTGGAGACGGGGACACCGTGTTGAGACGTAGTAAGAGAGAAAGAAAGACTGTTAAGTAGGCGGATGTTTCAACAGGCACATTGTTTACACTCATGCCAGTGCCTAATGGCTTCGTACGTGAACTAACGAGGGCAGTCTGTGTAGTATAATAGGGGGGGGGCAAAGGGTGTGGTCAAAGGATTCATACATGCTGTTTATTAATGAACAATTGACTTAATGCTCACTTGGGAAGAGATTAGCCACACAGTGAGTGAAATGAGATTGGTTCCAAGTCTCTTTATTATGTTCTAGAATCAAAAGACAGTGCGAGCACCTGCCCAGAAGTAATGTGGACCATACTGGTTCACTTGCTCTCTCATCAGCTGGTAACCTACAAGAGTCATTGAGTACTAGGGACATGCTTTACTTGGCAGCAATGGCTTAAGTGTCACTACCAATCCCTGTGCAGGGAGTGTGCATTGTGAACGACACGTGCATTTATCATGAGAAAACCCAGACGCTCATTTTTTCCAACTTGAAAACATTATGCATGTCTTATGTGATCATGCCTCATTGTTTTCCTGCCCGTTATCAATTGAAGTGTCAACCTGTTCCTTGATTTTTGCATTCATCACATCTTCGTCATTTGATAAACGGTTTTCAATGCCTCATTTAATGCTATTTAAATATCATGTATGCTTCAGAAACAATTGAAATTTTAGGACGTTGAAATGGGCATTCACAAACAGCAACTAATTATTTCAAGGTTTATTTTATTCAATTTATTTCAAGGAAGATTTGGACCATTGTTCAATGATGATGTGTATGCCGTCTTTTATTTTGCTGTCAAAAAGAATTGTTTCCTGGTGCATATTTTGCTGATGCATGCTTTGCAAAGCAGTGGTAAAAAAAAGATGAACAATTTTACTTGTCCCCATTAGCTGTAATCTGCTCAAGGTGAGAACGGGACAGCATTGCTTTTGCGTGGCAATGACAGCATTTTCAGTGAAATCTCTGGTCATTTCTTGCAGCAACAAACTGATGGCATGAACAGGCCACATTGTGTTTACGAATAAAGAGCACTTTTATGAATAAATTTACAGTCATCTTTATTCATTGTAGGCTTTACATCATTAGATATGTCCTTTGTTATTCATAGAATATATCACAATAACCAGAAATGAAAATTAATCCTTACCAACCCAGATGAGAAAAATTAACATTATTTTGAGGTATTTTGTCTAGTTTGGACTGGAAGGACTGTACTTAAGAGCCTGGCATCATAATTTTGTCCCAAGGTAAAAAAAAAAGCATTATGTTACTGTAACACCCTTTGATTTGATATTTTTCACACTGCAAACTGCATGATCATTCGTATTCCTTCATGGTGCACCTTGCAAAGCTTTAAACATGATCAAATACAGATACCTTCCTGGCCAAAATGCCTGGAGACTTTCTGATAACAGCTCATCATACAATTATCCTGTAAAATGTATGTACAAACCACAATGTACATGAAGTGCATGTTAAGCTGCACATCAACAGGGCTTTTTGGGGGGGAGGGGTTAAAAATACCATACACTATTGTCTTTGTAAAATACAAAGCAAAGTAATATTTGAAAGAAGTCTTTGTCTGTGAATCTGCATTATTTACGGAAAGAAATTTCTGAGATTCGAAAACAGTTGACGGAAAACATCTACATGTACAACAAATTCAGTGTGAAGATCTAAATAATATTTTACATACATATATGCAGATTTAGGAAAAAGACAGCTGGAAAATGTGATTCAAAATACAAGCTTTGGGCCTACGTCCCTAGCATTTTTTCCAGAGGATGAAATACCCTAAACTTGGGAAAAACCGTGAAGTTTGTTTCGCCATGAGAAATTTTTAAGACCCTGTACCAATTGTCTACCTCAGAGGGAAGGTAAATGAAAATGCAATACTATGCTTGAATCGAGCAAGTTCCTACTTCTACTAGAAATAATATTTGGACAATCTGCTGTGTAGAACCATACTTTTACTTGGCAAAGACAGTCTTTTGATGGGAAATTCCCTCGCATACAGGTTAATTTGGATTTTGGTACAGGACACGCTGAGCACGCACGACCGATTTCTGTTGAAATGTAAGAGCTTAGTATGTGAGCCCAGCACCTTGTCGAAACAATTCCCACCAACCTGTGGAACGTTCTATGTACTGGATTACAATACTTCAACCCTGGAAACTTATAGAGTGGGGAATTTACTGTAATTCACTCAAAGTGAGTAATGTCTCAATGCACATTCAGTGCACACTTCAAAATAATGGCAATAGGAGCAGATCAGACCCAATGAATTAGACTCGGACATGTAACTAGGACTTTAACAAAAACAAGAAATTCAAATTTTTGCAAGACTTTGTAGAGTGTTTCTTCAATTTTCAATGGCATGAGTGCAAAATGAAAAAACCAAAGAAATGAGCTGATCCGAGCAAAAGTTCCATGCCTGTAGACAGCCTGCACTGAGTGTTCCCTACACATGCACCAGGTCAAAAACCTGTAGTTTCCATAAGAAAAGACTTTCCACTGCTGGGGACTGCATATTTGTGCATGCAGTGGGTCGATTTTTAAATGAAGATTTAATGTTGAGGTGACATGCAAAAGATTGGACTGCAGAAGAACCACATATCACTGTAGTACAGATGTTCACCTCTTGCATCCTTCAAATGTACGTGCACAGTTTCATAGAACCCTCTCAACAGAAGAACTTTACTGCCTAATTCCAAATGCCAAGATGACGACAGCATTGCTTTACTTGAAACATCGTCCCTTCACTGAAGGAGACATTGTCAGTGTTCAATGATATCGCTCTTGACGTACTCCACGCTTTTGGATGGGTCTGTCGGAAAATGCCTCTGGCACTGGGTCATCAATCTCTTCAGTGCCTGGAGGTAAAGAGATCACAGAATCCAAACGGAGCACTTGTCAAGCAAACATGATCACTCCCATGTGGGTCAGGCTACTTGAAACTGATGGCAAAAACACTGAAAAGACCTGGAAACTTTGACCGTTCCTGTACCATTTGGAATACTATCAAACACAGTACATTGCGAGAAGGCAATACATGAAACGAACATCAGATGTCTCATAGCAACAAGCTACTACCCATTAGCATGGTCAACAAGTTTTACAAATAGTAAAGACTGGTCGTCCTCGGCTATTTTTCTTTGGCAATAGCAAAGGTTACTGACTGACTCGACAAAGCTGTGAACATCCGCAGTGGACTGTTTCTAAAGATTCAAGACTTTGGGCAATATGTCGACATGCCTGAACTTGATGTGAACAAACTACACAGGATACACCTACCTGAATAAACTTTCTTTGCGTTTCATCATTAAGCACATCTGTGGTCAACGACTTAAGGAAAGAGAATGATAAAGATAATAGAAACTGACAGCAAAATTAAACAGTGTCTGCCGCCAAGTGTTGGAACAGCGGCAAGTCTAGCATGCCATCCAGTGTTCCGGCCACAATTAAAACTAGAAAACTCTCAGAACAGCTCCTACCATGCACTTGCCAAGTCCTAGCCACACCCTCCTATTTCAACAGATAAAACAGCAGGTGAAGAACAGCTTCAGTATTTCTCCATATCCATCTGAACCCCCCCCCCGGATTGATTAAAACAATTTCAAAGGATACGAGCCACGTTCTTGGAGAAGATCTTCTCTCTGCCTGTACGGGCATGGATTCCCACCATGGTCACTCCGATGGGCCAAGGGGCATTACCAATAGCCATCTGAAGGTACGTGTCACTGGCCTGGGAGGGAAAACATGACTGGGTCAGTTTTAAAATGATCTGCTTGACCACAAGCTCCGTCGGCATAAGAACAAACCTAATATTAATATAATATAATATAATATTTCACACACATGCATATACCTCCTTTCCACTGTGGAATATCACTACAACTGTAAATTCTTGCATTTTGTTTTTCAATGTAACCCTATAACAATTCTAACACACCTGTTGTAATTTTGAGTAAGTACAGAGTATGAGTTTGTTGTTAGGGGCTGTCTATGTCATGCTAATAAAGACAGTTCTCACCGCTGAGAGTGTTGTTAACCTGAAAATCACAGAGAAGCGATTGACAGGTGTTTGGCTGGGCAAATATGACATACCTTGACATAGTCTCTGTCCAGCATGTATCTGATAATGTTCACCAAGCTCTCCAGCAGGTCAGGAGCTAAAGACTGTAACACAAACATTGGGTAATGTTAGACCTTTTTCACAGAAGATTCATCCCTCAGTAAATACAGACTAGAGTGGAGTCTAGGCTTGCCAAGCACTACTGTTCTTGGGTTTACTTCAAAAGCATCTCCAAAGTCAGAACACACCTGTTCCCACTGGAATGCTCCTTTATGGAACTCGACAGTGAGTTTCCAATGCATATTGGCTGTGTTACTGGGAGTGTTCTAAATGGGTACAGGCCATTCCCAAGTAAAGCATTCGGGTTATACCTGTTGTTCCCTTGTTGTTCCCAGTAGGAAGTCAGGTAATGCTGAATTATACAAGCAATGTATTTTTTAATAACATTCCAACTTCTGGAGTGCTCTGGAGGCAATCCATACCGTATGTGTCTGCAACAAGATCTACTCAAATTCTGAATACATTAACCCCTTCGCGCTGGGAAGCGGCTAGAGCCACCGTAAAAATTGAGATCCTCAGCCCGCTTTTCAGCTATTATTCTCGACCCACGCTCGAGCGAACACAGTGAAAGAAGGCAGACCCTGGCTCTTGTATATATGGTGATTGGCCTTTGTGTGTAGCCCAGAAATGTAAAGACCGAATTTGCATCATAATCACCAGCTTCACAATAGTCCCCACTTTGAAAGGAGGCAACGGGAATGTGGAAGCATGAGTAGAGCCGCATGCCACCAAACAATCAGCCTTTTCACTGCGTAATTCAAAGCGTGCAGAGCACGTAGGGCCACAAACCAAGAATTTGCGGTTTGGCAGGTGGCCTTCGTGGCCAAGCGAGGCTGGAATTCTTGGAGTTGGCTTTCGGAAAGAAATTCCCGTCGTTAAGGGGTTAATAAGAAAAAGACTCCTACATCTCAAGCAATATGCACTACCATTTGATTAGATTCTTCTGACCTGTTTCTTGAGCTTTCTAAGGAGCGGCTGGAGGTAGGCTTTTGTCTGACTGTAGGTGGCGCTCTCCAATTTGCCCCTGTTACTGCGCTTCACGTGTTCTTCTCGCCGGTTCAGCTCTTGGGCCCACATCTTCAGCAAGAACTGCAGATTACAACAAAATCACACTATGATAGAAGTCTCATTCCTAAATATCTCTACTCGACAGAGAGCTTGACAATGTACAGCAAGTCAATAACACAGCACGTCAACAATATGTATATATCTGACATAAATAAACGTGTAGGTGTAGCGTACTAAAAAATCCACATGTGGATGAACGACAATGGTTTTACTACATGTGAATTTACTTGAGAATTAGGTCTATCAAATTATAACGAGGGTAATATAGTAATGACCACTTCACTGTTTATTAAAAGAATAATCTTGGATTTGCTGTGACTAGGGTTAAATATTAAATGACACAATCTATATATGCAACAACAAAAACATGCTCTTAAAAGATATTTCATTCATCAGAAGAGTCAAGATTTTCTAAACTTCTAATTTACAACAAAGGGCAAAAATTTTACATAATTGTGTGTGTGTGTATGATATATACCAGGGAACAAGTCCTGTGCTTGTGTCAGCTTGGCCTGTGCATGCTCCGAAAAATATTTCTTAAACATCTACTGGGTGTTACGGTAGAAAAGCTGAAGTAATTAGCAGGAAATAACTTTAAGCGGTCCAGCGGTCAACTTCCTGAAAGCTGTCATGTCAAATTTTCTTCTTAGGGAGGGTTTAGGGGCTGCTAGTTATCAGACGCTGCACTCGCTGGGTTTATGTTGGGAGGGTAGGGAGGGCCCTAGATCGGAAAAACGATGATGGCTACAGACAACGCAAGGGCATCCAGGCACACTGATAAGAGTCTTTACTCAAGCACCAAATTAGTACTTGGAATAATTTCAATTTTTAACACCTCATCCACAGATTCTGTATCTTAATTAACTGGCCGAGAGCTGGTCACGCAGCATTTTTCTATTTTGGGCTGTGTTGCTGTGCATGACCACAAGAATCTGTAGTAACCAAAATACGATACTCACAGCAACCAATATTACATACACAAGACAACTGGTACTGTGTCCAAAACGCATACAGTCCAAAGTGCAAGTGCTACAGAACTGGGTTCATACACTTTGAGAAGAGGTTGTTTAGAAAAATTTTCAACAAATTTTGTATTCAAACAGAAACTTACTTTAATTGTATTTAGATTAAATTCAAATATTATTTCTTAACAACAGCAGAATCTAAGAGAGTGATATTACTCCCCAATCGGCGAAAAGAAAGACAGGTGGTTACAAGCGGATTCTTGCACGCGTTCTGCATGTACGCAACGACCATACATGCCGGAGTAAATTAGTTACGCGTACTCAGCGTGCTCTACGTCAAATGCACATATACTTGCGCGCCTCATGGCGTGCCTACGGGTGAGTACCCAAAAAAACCACGCCCTCTTTTGTTCCACTCAGAGCGGATAAAGCAAATATTGATTGTTTATCCAGTGCATATTTCTATTCACTTTTTTATGCAAGAGATGAATTATTGCTGGAAATGTTTGTGGTATTCCATATCTCAGATTTACTGATAAAATTTGAAATGTTCCCAGTGCAAAGTATTCCAAAACCCTTCAGCAACAAATCACATGTTACACACAAAGGGAAGGCGACATCATATGGTGGCTGTCAATACCTTGATGAACCACGTGATAACTCTGCCGTCCAGCTGTTCATCTCCTTGCCCCATCCCGGCCGACATCTCGATGATGTCATCGATGGTGGAGCCGTCATCCTCGTACTTGATGTCGTAGGCCCTGTTGGGGACGTCCTCCCCCTGCAGCTTTACCATTTCCTCCAGGTACTGCTGGTCCACTTTGTCCATCGCCTCCTTGAAGTCATTCCTCAAACCCTGTAGGAGTGGAGACGGGCAAATACGAGGAGGAACTTGAGACTGGTCCCAACAGGATTAGCAGTACATGCATGTAGTAGCCAGCAGGAGTATCCACTCTTGTGTGATATTCAGAGCTGGGCGAAAGCTTAGGTTCACATAGTATCCAGCAGTACAGCTAGAAGTTTTCCATGTGGTGACGCATTAGACAACAACTGATTCTTTTCAAACTTGATACATGTGTCCCTGTTTAGAACACGCCATGCCCAGCAATCCCGAGTCTTCATATCTTCCAATTTTAATCTTCCTCACCCATCCTCAGAGGGGGTGTAGGAATAAATACGGGTATTTTTTTTCTAGAAAATTGAAATACTTTTTTCCTTCCTCTTGTCACTTTTCTCTTGATTTTTCTTAAGTAGTCATTTGTAATTCAACTACCCAATCCCACAGTTTTGCCATGACACTGATGACGTACAACCACGTGCCCACAGCAGAAAGGCAAAGAACCAGGCCCCTAAGTTATTAAGATAGGAATGATGAGAATGAATATTTAATTTTTTCCAGTTCTTATTAGCACTGACTCTGACACTTTTGTCAAATTTGACAATCTAACCTTGTTGATTTCAGGTGCCAACATTTCATAACGACGTAGCCGGAAGAATGCCTCGGCGTCTGTCTCGCCAAACAATCTGATCGGTTCCTGCCTCTCCCTCAGCCGTTTGATGACCTGGCGATCACAAGACAAAAAAGTCAGCTTTGTAAGTCAGTCAGATCTCCACCCGATTACCCAACAGGAGTGTAGTCATGCAATACAGCGTGCTTTTTCCACTGCCAAGTACTGAGCTGTTTGTTGTGAACACAGAAGAGATATTGACTGTACACAGCAAGTGAATTTATTGATGGGACTTGGGGTGTGGATAACACACATGTACATGTAAACAATACTTTAAAATGAAGCATCAGTAAAGAAGAACTGAAAAATGCTCAGCACGTACTGGGGAAGTTATTTTTGTCTTAGAGTCTTATTTTTTTTTATTATTTATTCACACTCTCTCTTTTCTTTTGGTATTTTCTGTTCAATGTCTTTGTCATTCAGGTTTATCCCCATCCAAACACCCTACTAACTGGTGGTTGAGTACTCAACGACAACCCTGCTGCCTGAGCCACAGTATGGGGATGTACTATTCCTGTCAACGGGGGACTGATACGAAACCGCCTGAGGCTATCTACGTCGATGGACACAGCCATCATCTGCGGCATTACATTTAAACAAGACACAAAAAGTGACTTTAGCTCCCCAAATTCTTGATCTTACTGAAACATACTGCAGGTGAATGTGATCAGGGCGCTGTATAAGAACTACAGGAGCTTCTGAATATCGTATTCTTAAAATAAAAGTGACGAGGGCAGAATAGTTCCAGCCTAATTTTCTGATTCACCAATTATAAGATCAACATATCAGTCAGTATACATGTACACCGTACTGAGTATTCCGTGGTTTCAGTTTCCACAATTCATTTTCCAGATTACAAACAAATGTCAGCATCTTCTTCTCACCTCCTGTCTTGACAAAGTCACCAGATTGGGATCCATTGTCTCTGTGGATTCTCTCCGTTTACTTTCTTCTTTTGTCTCCTTTGAATGAGTACTGTCATCCTAAGCAAAAAAAAAACACCAGTCCAAAATTTAAAAAAAATATCCAAAATAAGTACATTCATTTGTTTTTTGTCTTAACTTTAAACATCAAAATATTTAAAGGACCTGACGTTTCAGTCCTGACCAAATCATTCTCGTGAAAAAGCCCTCTAGCTTTTTGAATTCATACATTTTAGGTCACTGTTGCCAACTGAACAGTTGGCAGCAGTTTTTGTATTTTTACAATTTTGAATTTTAACAAGACTCATCGATGGTCGATACAATGTTTACTTAAACAAGAAACTAACCTGTTGGTCAGTATCTTGAAATATACTGACAATATGAAAGCGTATTTTTTTATTAAATTTTACAGTCCTTTCAGATAATGAAAGTTTATGGCATACGAACAATTGACACAAACCTTTCGGTGTTTTTTCCAATATTCTTCCTCCTGTCGTTTGATCAAGTCTTCCCGTTTGAAAAATTTCTTGCCTGACTCCTGGCAAACAGCAAACAAACCCAGTGCATTATTATGTATTTATACTGAGTCTGTAGGCAAACTACCAGCTGATACCAATGAGGCTTGGACAACTCTTGAGCTAGAATCAAATGAAGCAAACTGGAATTGTGAAAAGCACAAGTCCAAGGCCCAATTTCACAATGCTACTAATACTGTTAAGCAATTTTTTTATAACCCAGCACAAAAATTTGGGGAAGAGTTCCATATATACGGACACCAGTAATTATTCCTTACAGTGACCTATTAGCCATCAGAAAGCAAAAACATGTCCAGAAAAATTCAATTTAGGAGGGACAAAAACCAAATTGTTTACTAAGAAAAAAACTAAGGATTTTTCAGACCAGTCTCATAGGGCTTGTGCACAGGGTGACAAGCGATGTCCATACATGTACATGTATATGGAACTCTTTCCAAAATTTGCTTAACGTTATTAAAAAGTGTATACATTTCACAATGACCATGTCATTGTTGCTGTGCTTAACACAGAAATTGCATGGACATGATGGGTGCGCATAACAGGTCATGCTGGTAGACAGAGATGTCCATTGTTCATGTTGTTGCATCATTATTTAAGCATTTTTTTCCTCTGCGGTTAGCGTACTGCGCTGTTTGCTGTATTTACTGCTTACAGTCTATAAAATACGCTATGTACCATGATGTACCATGTACATAAATGTACGTGTACTTGAAGCCTCTGTTTAACAGAGGTTGTCGGCTTAGCAGAGCCATGAAATTGGGCCAAGGGCCTTAGCAAGCCTTGGGCACTAGTCCCTATCACATCCCACATCACCTCAGTCAAACCCATGCGCAAATTATGGGTAGGCAAATCCCACCAGACAGTACATGTACGTATTAGCAAAGGAGATGGTTACTCATTCATCAGTCCTGGGACCAAACCACAGTTTAGTGACAACGCCAGACAACATGTATGCAAATGCTGCAAAACATTTTATCCTCCAAATGAGGAAAAGGCGAGTTTTCTACAGTTAGCAACCTAGCAGATAGTTTATCCCGTAAGTAGTGAACATACTAGTGCAATTTCAGCTCATAAAATGAAGTGGATGCCCACAGGTATACCACAGAATGTTTTTTCGAAAGAATTCCTATGCATCCTTCTGGGGACACTGCCCAGTATACAACAGAGGAGATTTACACATGCAAGACGTGCAACAGAATACGTCGGCGCGAGCGTGCAGCCTTTGAAATACGCATGCGACATGCTGAGCCTACAGGTATGTAGGCTAGGACGGGTTGTCGGACAACTCGACTGTCGAGACAACTCAACCATTTGCCAAGTCGTCTGTTAGGACAACTCCACTTTGACAGAGAGACAACTCGACCAGTGCTCGATCTTCACATAATACAGTCATTTCCCAGTTCAAGATCGCGAAAAATTGTTCAGTCAGATTGCAACTCTACAAAAATCCTTGAATTCCAGTGAAATGTGGTCACCGTCCACCTTGTGTGATAGAGATACCACGGTTACCACCAAATCTGTTTCAAATTTTAAACTTTTAATTCGGACGTAGAGGATCGATGAAAGTGGTGACACTTTTTCTCATTCTAGATGCAAGGCTGCAAGATCCGATCGATTGATTGCGCAAAGATTGACTTAATACCGCCACCATGTACCTCAGAAATTAGGCTTGTCTATCTGCAACATGAAATTCTATCCCATCGTTAAGGCCATGTATCCTCCATGGTATTTCACACCGTGGCCTCAGCAGATGACTGGGCTGAGCGGACAGTGTCCAACGGACGACTTGTCTCAACGGACGACTTGTCTCAACGGTCGACTTGTCTCTCCCTTTTATGCACGGATGGTCGAGTTGTCTCAACGGTCGAGTTGTCCAAAGTCGAGTTGGCAAACGGTCGAGTTGTCCAGACCCCCTAGGATGTGACCTGTGCATAACTTGCGGACAGCGCAGTGAATACAACCCAACATGCCCAAAGTGATTGCATTTTTGCCACTCAAAGCAATGTAAAATGCATTTGTTTTCACCATGCACTGACCCGACATGCCCAAGGCCGAGATCAAGCAAAGTCGTGTCCGCGAATATTCATCCTGAATACTAAAGAATAGCCAGTCAGTGTCATTTTCATATTAGGGGGTCTTTACTACACAACCACAGAGACATGACAGAGGATGCAGACGAAGCTCATGGAGTCGAGGGTGATGTAGTAGGAACGTCGCTAGATTGTCATGATCGTAGTTTGGTTTAATAATGGCCACTGGCACTGCATAATCATGATAATGTCATTATCATGATTATTAATGACGTAGCCTGCGCGTAGATATGTACATCATGTAATGATGTACAGCCCATGCATGGCAGGTAGATTACACGTTGTGCACGTACATGTACAGTACGTTGCGTGTATGTACGCGCTGAAAACATGCTGAAAGCTCATGGCAATTTCTGCTTACAGGAGCAACGACCTTGCTCGCTTCCAGTTGTTTCCTCTTCTTGGCAATCTCGGCTTTAAGTAAATCCATTTTGGTCGAAGTTGGAGTTCCTCAGAGTTGTGGAAATAACATTTTGATGAATGAATAACTCCACAAGAGTGCCACCATGCAGACGACAATGACAAGAATAACGAAGTGCGTAAATTAGTCTAAGCCCCTTGCGAGCTGTTTCCGTTTACGTATCACCCACGATTTAATGTTTTGAGGCGGTTGACAGACCCACTGTAGTATGGTATCTCCATGCAATAAATAACCACTGAGTGAAGGTCCGTTTGGACGTCTGGATTAAAGACGGGCCAGAATAAAAACAAGGTAAAGTGAAAACGTGCAAGAGGAGTCCTTGCTTGCAGCGTGACGTACGTAAAACCCTTTTTTGAGCATTTTTATTTTTTTCAACAGTTTCTGTTATAAATTTATTGATAGCAGAGATTACGATATTGATTTCACAGGCAGGTTCTAGGGTTTGCTAGGTCATTGCCGGTTGGCTGGAGAGTTGTTCAGCGCAATCTACCCACCGAATGGATGATCGCGCGAACCAGCCAGCTAAGGTCACTGATCGCGATCCAGATGGCCAGATATGTGTGAACAAACAGGCGTCATGTTGACTCAGTCAGTTGGCTACCGAGTCCGCCTCCTACTTCTACTTTTTGCACTAGGTATACGTTTATTTCCTCCAGAGTTAATTATGGATCTTACGTGAGTGGGGAATAGTTCCCATGGTTCCACGTGCGGAAAGCACTAATTTTCCCTTAACACTAATAATAACAGCCATGAGAAAGTGATAACATGTCCTATAAAAAAGTGAAATTTAGCCAAGAAAATTCTGAAGCATTTACTTTGAAAACGCTTAGGTTTTTTCAGACATGTCTCACGTTTGTGCGTAGGGCCATCAAGTGTTGTCCCTTTTCCCAACTCTGGACATGCTGGATAGAACACAATAAATTTGCTCAAGATTCAAGGCACTGAGAGAGCTACATGTACATGTACGGTAGCCAAGGTTGGACGTTGTCTTTATGTACACTATGACTGACATCCAGGTAGTCCTACAATGCAAAGTTTTTCAACATATTTTCTCACATTTTTTCCTGGCAAAGACAGCTCGAATGACCTTCACAAGTGCCTTGTATTCCAAATTCCATAAACACTTTGTTAAATTACAAAATACATCCGCGGACAACGTATTTTGTAGGAAATTTTGCAACTTCAAAGTACATACATGTATGTTGGGCACGATCAGTCGATCAGCATGACCGCTCAATCGCATGGCACTATCAGCATCAGTTGAGCGTGTATGAAATCCCTGACTTCACTTCCCTTTTTTGAAACCAAGAATTAGAAACAAGTCAATTGACTGATGGCAGAATCGACAAATCATGCATTCAGATTGACTAATTAATCATGCAAAGATCAAGTGATTGCACAGATCAAGTCATCACATTCAATATACATGTACACTTTGTTAAAATAAGGCCATGAGAATTTAGAGTACATGTAGTATGTCCATCATGTACAGTATACAGTGTACCGATACATGTAGTTATGCACATGTACACGTCACGGTCGTATCATTTGGGTACAAATTGGGAGACGCACATTTAAATGTTTGTGTGAGTTGATACTGTACAATTGCTTGTTACATCTTCACCCTATAGATATTTGTGCTCATACATGTACATGTACAATTATGCCTCTGCCTGTCTTGGATAACACTATCCCATATCCTGGTTCATTTTGCATACTTGGCTACCTTCCAAACTCCTTATCAACCACTGCCTAGTTTATTGAGTTTAGCTGTTGAGTGCAGTTTTAGCCAGTCTTTATGGAAACCAGATGGGCCTTGATTTAAGACATGTGTCAGGGAGATAGGGGTTATTTGGAACACTTAGTTAGGCTATTGGGATGATCCAATAGCCCATCTCCTCTCTGGTCAAATAGTGGGAGGGGATACAGTTATGTACCCTATCACCCCATGATTTACATGTATGCCCCAACTGATGTTGTAAATGTTCATCTGCAGCCAGTCACTGTAATAAGTTTTTCCAGGGTTCCAGGGAGTAAATTTCTAACAGTAGCCAAATTTCTGGTGAAATGCATGTTCTGCTTAGCCTTTTATTATATTATATAATATATTATATTGTATGATATTTATTTATTGGATATTATTTTCACAGGATTATAGGTGCAGTTCTTTGATTTACCGCTGGGGCCTTTTTTTTTTGTTCACAATCAAATTACTCAGAATCTATGGTTTTGATCATTTTAGGACAGCCTGTGGCTTTTGATATCTCATCCCAGTTTCGCCCAAATTTGCCAACTTCCTTACTCTCCTAGCTGCCAAGTCTAAACTGTCTCTAGTCTACAGTTAAGAACCGGGAACTCTGGGGAGGCATATTAACGTCATGCATTGCTCAGATAAGAGCCATCCCTTGTTGGGTTTCGTGGCATCATACCCTACTGTACATTGTAGCTTGGTCCACAGACGTTTCAACTACAGTTGTATCTGCAGTACTGTTCAACTGTACAACAAAGCCTGCCGCTACTTTAGTTCTTTGTGTCTAAAACCTACTTGTACGTTGGCACTATTTATCAGTTATACACATTATAAAAATAGTTTCTGTATTTACGTGCGGTCACAACTTAACCTAATTAAATTGACAAGTTGCTTCTTTCTTGCTTGCAGTAAAGGTAAGTGAAACATCGATGATTCAAGATTTTCAAAGCTGCCATGAAACTTGTCAAGCAGCCCAAGTGGCTTTTTTCTCAAAGGTACCAGGTGTTCGTGCCCCTTGGAGTGAAGGATAGTTGCCTGTCTGGTGTCTGCGCTTAGATTTTCCCCTCAACCGGCCCTAATGCAAGCGAGGCCACAGTTTCATGGCCCTTGGTTTTTGCTTCTTTGCAGGCAGAAGAAATAACACCCTTCTACTAGGATGTGAATCCGCAGAGTCTGTTCTGGTTGGGAGATGGTGCATCACTTGGGCATGCTTGGCTGGCTCATTGAAGTACATATAACTGGACAAAAACTGATGAGCCATACACCTGCCAGAGCGCATTGCTAGTCACGATGCTTACATTTTGTGGGAAACAACCTGCAGTTTTTGCAAGAGAGCACGGAGAACTATGTTACATGTAGCCAAGTGTGTTGTGTGAAGCTATATGTTCATGTGTACACATGCATACATTGGGTCAACTGCTACATTTGAATGTACATGTAAGTATCCTTTATATGCAAATTCTGTGGGCCTATTAACATTTTTCTTTAGTCTAGAGTGATATTACAAAACTGAATAGCAGGTCAGCTGTTTGCATAGTGAATAGCAAATAGAGAACATGTTAATCAAAACTACATGTACATGTACATGTATGTTTGTCCGTTGCCATACAGCTTGTAAATGATGACAGTGTAGACACTAGTGATACTTCGAAGAATTCATGAATTCATACCGATAGGTTTTTAACAAACCAATAGATTGTGGTTTTTCCAAAAAAAATTCAATACCCAGATGCTCCAAAAATTCTGAATTGATTTTGGTAAGTTTGAAACGTTGGCCTGTACCCCTATAGTTTCCCATCCCTTTTCCCGGTTGTTTACTGCATCGTATGTATGTCATCTCTTCCTTTCTTTATTACCCTATTTCCTGTCCTTAATTTGTTCACGTCCTTGGATACCTTACCCTGAGCAGAGACGCTGCGCCCTTACCCACGTCCTTCGTGGTCTTCCCGCTCCCAGCATGTATGCATGTGTATGATAGCACTGTGCTGTTAGGGGGCAGGTTTTAGCCTCCAATATGCCCGCCCTTTTCCTGTGATCATCTCCTGCCTTTTTTTTAACCAGTGCTACTCACTGCGTTCATCCCAAAATGAACACTCATGATGGATTTGGTGTAAATAAGGTTAAAATAACGTCGTCGAAAATTCTGGCGGAAATTTTTCCTCCCCTCCCTCAGACCCGGCCCCACCTTTCTCCCCCATTCTTGGTGACCACCAGTCACACCTTTTTGGGATCGCCTTTACTCTCTTTTTCATCAGGCTCGTAAAAAAGCGCAGCACACAGGTATGCTATAAAAGCACATTTTGGTGTGATGCTACCAATTAACGTCATGACAAAATGAGATTAAAAGCCATGTGGTGCCACGCATTCTGTCAACTTGGTGCCTATAAAAACTCCCTGTCACGTTCCCTGCCTATGTGGCCATTAAAATGGGCACCTGTAAATTCCAGTCAGTTTATTTTCAGTGCCTGAATTTAGTGCACCTTTGCCTCATGTTGTAAGTGAATTACTGTAGCAGCCGGACACAAATTGTGCTAAATAATTTTGTCAGCGGCTGGGCTAATGATGAAGTATGTGGTTGGCATGCCTAGCCCCACCTCATTGACATGCCTTAGAAGATGTACAGGATTTACTGTGTGCCTGTCGACAGTGAACAGGATACTGTAGATACATGTACATGTGCGGGTGCCTGTGGTCGCAATGTCTCACCTGGAATAGCTACACATTTGTAAAGACATTTGTGCAGGGATGATTTACACGTACTGTATATTAGTCATGTGGTCCGTGTTCTTGAGAGGTGTTGAGGAAGAAATCAAGCATAAGGCAGATCTAGTAAAGAAATATTGAAATGTCAAGATTTACATTCACTGTAGCCTGTGTAAGTCCAAATCCGTCTACAATTTATATTCTGGTGGTTTTATGATTTGTACATGCACTCCAGTTGGTGGGCAATCAATTTGCATCAGTTTTTAACTCCGAAGTGTAAATTTTCCATTTTTTTATCGAGATGTGGACACGTGCACATTTACAGAAGGTGATAATGTTAAAACTAGATAACATCAGGGAAGATAATTATTAATTAATGTTTCTTTTTCTGTCAAACAGCCAAAAGGTTACTGGTACGTTACAATTAAATGGCTGGTGATAGAGTGTGCAAGTAATTGAAATGAAAAGAAATTTCTTTATCTTGGCTAAGATGTCTGAGTTCCGAAAAAATTAGTTGATTTGAAATGTTGAGGGGCTAAACTTGGAGGTAGAAGTACGTACTGTAAAAGATGGCAGTGACCTTTTTAAAACAATACATCTTCATGCTTCTAAACCAACATGTACATGTACTGTAAGGTTATTTTCTTGTCAGAAAATGGTTTGTGAAAAGTGTTAATTCTCTATTTTATTACATGTACCACCAGAATTATGAACAGTGCCCTCTGTTGTCAGCCATGCCAGCCAGGCCAGGCCACATCACTGCAGCGGTGGTGGTGACATTGTTAGCATTGCTGCTGGTTGCGCCTACCTCCTCGACCAGGGACCGCCACCAACGTCGTCACACGCTCAGGGTGGCGACATACAACATATGGAACGTCATGTTCAACTGGGAGGTCAGGAAACATCACATTGCAGCCTTGGTATGTACACACCCTTTGAATCGAGTGGCCGGGCTGTTTTGCGGTTTCCGTTCCGACATTCCTGGCGGAATCCCTCACTCCTTCTCTCTGCCTTCACTTCCATTTGTTGTTTGGGAGAGCAATTAATATTGCCAAGAGGTTTAATGACAAATCGGAATGTAGGGGTGGATGTGATAGCACATGTGCTTGACCTGGATACCAAGTTGAAGACAAATAATCGGAGATCTGAAATCAATGAGTACCCTGGGATAGCGATTGGGTGAATTTTTTTTCTCTGTACTGTCTCTAAGGGGGCCCATGGCTCATTTCCCTGCAAAAGTGTACCGACTTGCTCTGTTTCTGTCTACCTCCAAATTTGTCAATACATGTAAGGCACCGGAGGAAATGCAATTGTGTACATACATGTACATGGTACACTGGCGTGCCCCTTTGGAATTACGTGCATGTATGTCCATGTACTGGTTGTGGCTCATGTTTTAAGCTAGCCTTCATTTAGGTGACTTTAAAGGATTTTTTGGCCCAGTCTGGCAATAGAAAAGACACTTTGGTCTACATTTATGTTCATGTTTTTAATATCTCATAACCAATATCTGAGCAGAAATACCGGTACATAAGTTGATGTCTCTTGATCATACTGGGAATTTCTTAATCAAAATTGATTTTCAAGGAGGGCGTATAGAACACATGTATGGACTACTTCACACAATTGTCCCAGCTGATGTATGCTCAGATATGGTTTGAAGGTCTGCACCATGTACATGTATACATCTCTTTTGCGAGTGGGGTTTTGAAAAAAAAAAAGGGGGGGATTCCATCCTGCACACCATATGCTCTACCGCCGTCAGGAGGCTTACACAAAACCCACCATTGTTGTTCCCCCTTTGCAAAAACCAGTTTGAATCACTCGTGCCATTTTGTGTAGTACAGGATTCAGAGGGACTTTCACAGGGCACTTTGCCTAGCTGTAGAGGTCCCTTGATCCTGCTTCTTAATTCATGACGTTTCTTTCTGGATTTAAGCAGAAAAAAAGTCCCACTGCCAGTACCTAAATTTGGCACTTCTCGGTATTGGTGCTTTTCTCTGGTGTGTAAATATTAGTATTGGGTAGGGGTGTACATGTACCTTTGGGGCATTTTTTCGTAAGGCAGGGATCGGAGGTGAGGAATGTTATTAGATTATCCACCTAAACCCCCTTTTGCTTTTCTTCCAAATTGGCACAAGGGCTGCTAGACGTAAGTAGACAATGTTACCCGCAAATTGTGCCGTGGACGCTGAAGAAAATCTGAGAATAAGTCAATAGTAATATGCGTCGCACAGCATTTTGGCTGTAAACCATGTTTTACAGAGCAAATTTGTCCAGCGTCGCGGCACAGTTCCGTATTTGCTCACTACAAGCTCCCTGAAATTGGTCTGTATAGTCAACATGCGGTGCATGCGTGATGAGCAATGCAGTCAATTTCAATGGGTTCTTTTTCCTTGATGCTCAGTGTACACCATCACAAACACAAGTTTGGATAACCATCCTCAGTTGAATGAGATCCAATTTTTATTCTCAAAAATAGTAGAGATTTTACAGCATCTTCAAAAAAACAGATAATTTTAATGACGGCCCTTTGGAATTGTTATTTTTTTTGGCACTGATCCTGAGCAGTGTTTTTCAGTGAGTGTGTTTGCTGTCAAGCAGATAACCTTTCAAGTTCACTGTCACCCTCATCCAAACCAGGACTGCAGTAAAAGCAAAGCATTCTTACGCAAACCATCTGCCGGTGTTTATCTATGTGTCGGTATGTCCCAGGCTGTTGACAGGCCTGGGGATTGTGCTGGTCGGAAGCTCCTGGGTGACTTTGGCAAGATGCAGTACTCTGTTCATGACATGTGGGAAATAATTTTCCTCAACGAAGCACTCACGCACACACATTAAAGAAAACAAATGTAGCCTGAATTCAAAGGCTAGTGTAGATTGTGGTTTGCAAACAGAAGTTACACAATGTACTAAATGTATATACCCCTAACCCCCTAGGGACCATTGAAATCCTGCACAACCTTGTTGGGTTCAGCATGGTTAGGGCCCTAATCCCCATAGGGACCATTGAAATCCTGCATAGCCTTGTTGGATTCAGCATGGTTAGGGTTAAAGGGAAGTGGGAAACCATGTCAGTTTTTTCAAGGAGGTACGTTTTTATCAAATTGTAATATGCATCAATAAATTTATTTCTTGTTTATTACATTTCTTATTTCTTTCATTTCATGAAGTTTAACCCAATCCTTCAGTTACCGGTATGCAAAATGTACAAATGTACAGAACAAAGAAAATATATTTTACAGTGTATTTTTAACAACAGTGATCAGAAAGAAAACAGCCTTTAATAAAATATCTTTTCTTAAATACATGTATACCAATTATGGGCACAGTAGATTGCCGAATAATTGCAAGTGTCACTGTTACTGTTGACCCCAGCACTAACCAATTTAAAGTTTGAAAGGATGTCAAAATTAGATGCCTTTTAATTTCCAGCTGTAAATTTGATTCAAAAATCAGTTGATCTCCGACTTCCATTTCCGAAATTTGTAGCATGTCATTGTGACTTCATTTGAACATGATGCCATATGCCATACATGTACGTACACAGGTTTTGTGGTTTCTTGACAAACATTCTAAAAAAAAGAAAGAAAGATACTGTACAAAAACAGGTGCTGCTTTTAGACAGACTTTACTGCATGCACAGTGTACTGTAGGTCGGGCAGAAAGTGGTCTGAATGTTTAGTGACAATAAAGTGGTTTGTCACAGATTACTAAGACTAGAATAAAGGTGTTGCAGTTGTCTCAGTTGATGCGAGCCTGATTCTAGGAGAAAAGAAGAAGCCAGTGCCAGTGCTGAACTGGGATGTACATGTATACATGTCTGTAAAAGGAAGAACCAAATTTCCTCCGGTAATTGAGGGAAATAACTGCCTCTTTAAGCATGCCTCAAAAGTGCATTGCCAAAGCCTGCCGCCGGCGTGCCCATTTGTTATTGCATCTGCAGGCAGTTTGATGAATCTGTGGGATAATTGAAAATCTCAGTGCTTTTTTCCTGGGAATTTTTAAAGTGCCTTGATGCTTGCATTATCAAGGTCGGTGGGTAAAATGGTATTCATTGCACTCTGTAACGTGTTTTAATGTTTGACCATCACCGTTTGGGTATCACAATGATAATCTGGTTCCTTTATAGGAAATCAAGGCTTAGCTGCTAATTGTGAGGAAAAAGGAAACCACAAAATTTCATGACAAGTAAGGGGTGAGAAGAGGTAACCACATGGGGTGTAATCAAAACACTTTTGAAATTTCAGCTAAGCAGACGGCATTTGTTTTTCAAAGAAATCACTAAAGCCAGTGCATAAATGGTTATCGATTACATGTACGTCGATAAATAGTAACATCAGCATTTGGTTGTGATAACGTGTAAAGATCTTTTAGCACGGTAGCAGATCCAACATTGAGTGAAAGATGTACATTGCACATGGGTTTGTTTGTTCATTTTGTTTGGGCTTTTGGGTAGGGGGGGGGTTTCTTTTCAAATATTCACAAGGTCTGGTCTTTCAGAAGTGAATAATTCATGGAAATCAAGTTCCAATGACAGAATGTCATAAATATGACAGTTGCTAATAAAAATGTCATCACTCTGTTTGAGAGAAATGTGATTAAAAATCTTGCCAAAGTGAAAAAAAGATACAAAATTAATGACTTAACATAACATTCTGCAGGAGAAACAAGATGATGCAATGTAAATTAGCGTTGATTCACTTTGCAAAAATACAAATATACTTTTTTGTTTTTTGAAGGGGAGTTGGCGTTTTAATTACTGCCTGGATGGAGACCTTGATCTTTGTCAATCGCTCTATCTGGCAGCTTTGTTGCAGTAGTCTCCGCACTTGTAAATCATCAACTTTACTTGAGAAGATGGACACTTAAGTTATTTGGACAGGTTCAAGTCAGGCGACCACTCACCCTTTTCCAGGCTAGAGATTCCTTGCTCAAGTGGAATTTTGGAGTCTGTGCATACTAGAGAGGTTTTTTTTTTTTGGATGTCTTCCAACGACAGGAATAATCTTTATGCTATTTTAGGACCGGACAATCTTGGTGTTGATGATACAAATGTGTTTGTGGTTGAAGCCCAAAGTGATAATAGGTACGTCATGTGCAGTCTCTTTTTGCGTAATAGAAGCCTTCCAGGCATATGCTGACAAGATCAAGTCACGATCAAGTTCAGCCAAGAGCTGACAGCATGAAATTGAAATAGCCCCCTCTGTTGTCAAGGCAGCTGCTTCGTTACAATTTATACTCAACGTTTCGTTCTGCACGTGCTCGTTACGATCTACATGTACTCATAAAAGAGTTTCTACAGGTACCCACATGTCATCAACAATTTGAGAGCATGGTACTTTTTAGGGAGTCGTAATTACATGGATTTGATTACATGTTTTGCCGTTTATTGCAATAACCCCAGCTGTTTCATTTCTGGCACAGTAAGAACAATAAAAAGATTTATTCAGTGAGTTTGTCAGGACTTATGACAGCAGATGAGATGTTTTATACATGGCCATATAAGGTAGCAGTTGCATTCAATTACGTATATTTTTTCTGTCAGGTTTGTGCTGGACATGTGCATGTAAGTTTCCTCATACTTACATGTATGCTTTTTTTTTCATTTTTAGTGGATATTTCACGCGAGAAAATTTTTTAAAAATCGGATGACAAATTTCTCATTCCTCATAACAAGAATACCAGACCTGAGTTGTTGATAATGACTCTAATTGCTTCCTTCTCGTCGAAATTGATATAAAGAAAATTTATAACTACCCACAGCTGTAAATAGTCCAGCAGATGATGAAGGGGACATGGGGTAGATACATGTAAACTTACATAGATAGCCTAAAGATTTGAAAATTTCAATTTTTATTCATATTTAAGTGCATATTCATGTTGTCCTATTCATTATTATTCATGCTCATTTTCATAT